ATAACTTAGATGTACATATATGCATATGACTGATCAAAAACTAATCTGTTAAATAAATATAATTAGGCAAAAAATTAGGTTGATGTAGCGGTATGATAATTTTCTGAATGTTTTCTTTTTTTAGCGAATTTCTACTTCTATTTGATTAAATTCCAAAAAATAGTACTTTACTCTTGTCAACAGCTTGTGCTTCAATTGGTTGCTACTGATGAAGTTAAAATAGCATGATTAATTACTGGATAGTGACCTGATTAATCCTTAATTTAAACAAATCTAGGTTTTTCTAAATTGACAATGACTTATCCCTTTTTACGAAAAGTTGCGGAATTTATTTCAGATCTGTGAAACCCGGACGTCCTTACTTTAATGAATTGGTACTTATTGCAACATCATTGTTTATAAATTATTCGTACAATGGTTTTTTTGCACTTCTGGTAATTATTGGCTCCAGTTTATTGGTAAATTGCATATTGCTGAATTAGTTTTATAACTTCAATGCAGTCATGATCTCGTAATACCAGACCTTTCAGGATTGTTGTGAATAATGGAAGAGAATGCGAAGATACACTTCACTTACTCGCATTTAAGTTTCAACAACTTTTAATATTCTCTGGGAATTTTTATTTAGGCATTATTTTATATTTCTTTTTCAGCAACTTCGGAAAACAGCGATTTTTTCAAAGGGTGTTAGTCTTTCCAGTTTTTCGCAACCAGTTCTCTTGGTTGTCCTTCATTTTTATGCCGTTTTGGCTTATACGGCATTTGGCGTTTGTTCGATTTGGAATATAGTTAGATATGGTTTATTTGCTGTTTATGAAGATCCGGCTCGTATTCCGACGTACTATATGATTTTCTTGAAGCTTATTCAACTTTGGGCAGGCAAAATCCACTTCTTCAGAGCAGTATGTTTTGTTTTGTTAATTTCATCTCCTCAGATAAAAATGAAGTCAGATTGAATGGATGTTTTTGCAAATTGTTTCCAATTTTGTGGAACACCTAGTGTTGTTCGTATTCTTACTTTTGAACTGTGTTTATTACGTTAAAGTAGCGACATACACTAACATTGAATTTTTACCTTTTTATAGAAAGAGTACAGATTTATAGAATTACAAGAAATCATGTAAATTACTTTAGAATTATTAGTGAATTTCTCTTAATTTCTCCAAAAGTTATTGGTTTTTCTCTCCTAAAATGACTTTGTGTTATGCTGCACCCTAACTGTTTTAATATCAAAGGGAATTGCAACTCTTCAAAATTCCCAACCTTCTAATCTTTTATTTCTCCAAGTTTATAAAGTTATTTAGCCCATCTTCCGCCCATGGGTTATGATTGATAATTACTCTTGAGAAATAGTATGAGTTTTTGATTCTATTTGTTAATATTATGCAATATTTTAGTGACTGAATGATTTTTATAATCTCGTGGATCATAACATCGATAAATTAGCATGTGGAACATTTGTCCCGTTGGCGAAAATCTGACTTTTTCATTTAAAATTAAAAATGATTTTTTTTCCCGCTAATTGACTTTATTGAATCTAGCTTATTTTGTAAAATTGTTTTTTTGATATTTGTTTATCCTTGCAGCATTATATTTCTGTAGCTGTGCTAATGTACACTGCCTTCATCCAACAGTTTACATGTATCGCGCAGTTGGGGTTTTCTTTTATCGCTGTAATTGGACTCAATTGGTTTGTGAATCAAGGCGAACTGAAATCAGAAAAAGAGCATTAACTAATAACATTGTTTTTGTGCAATATTAAAAAAATTCGTAATGTCTTAAATTATTCAAGTCATTCAAGAAGTCGGTATTGTGTTTTTTATTGGTAAATGCAGTTGGATGGAGTTTTAGAATTTGACGCTGAAATGGATCTAACGGATAATATACAAATGCCCGGCTAATTTATTTCATGATCAGTAGGCGCTTTGCTGGTTGCACAGTGGTGTGGAACTTTTATTACATACGCTAAACATTTATTACGTATGCCAAAGTGATTTGAACTGTTGGGATTTCAACTTTTATTGTTTAGTAAAATAGTGTCATATTCTATTTGAATTATTGTCTGCATAATTTCAGTGAAGTCATATAAATTTAAGGAGTCAGAGGATGAGGACTTTAGAACGTATCAAATACCAACTTTTTCCAGCTGTCAACATTTACTCCAGAGCCGATTAATAACGGATAAATTGTCAAACGCACTTCCATGCCAACCAAAATCACTCTGGACGTATCCTTATTTCAGCCGATGATCCGGCTTTTTTCGGTTAAGATCTTACCTGGAAAGCATAAGGGTAGGTGGCAGGAACCATTTCATGATATTTAAACAAACATACAAATCAAAGCCAAAATTGTCTTTAAACACATTGCAAACATTTAGCCATTGAGAATCAGTTGAAACTCTTCAGGAACTTGTACCTGCTATCAACCTCACATTCTTCTTGATCTTACTCGTCCGGAACAAACTCGTCGTAAGACTACACTCGCCTACACATTAAATCAGAACCTGATCTAAATGGCGTCATGAATAATATTTAATAAGCCACTCGAACATTGTTCGATGGAGACGAAAGTATTAGTTTTCCTGTGCTCAATCTCAAGATTCGTGAAGTGGCAGAACTGTTGTATTACACAGGACGACGGTTTATTGTAAATAACAAAAATCCTCTTCAACAATTATGTGAAATCCGGACAATATGCATTTCTGTACATGAAGAGGATATGTCAACTGATCAGCTGTGAACAGGCAAAAACCTAAGTTTAACATCTGTAACCTTACCAAGACCGTTTTTCCTCTGCTTTTCATTTCAAATATTGATGGTAATTGAAAACCTAACTGAGAAAAGTCCCGGCATAAAAACTGAGTGAGTGGGCTTTTATAACACGAACATCACATATTCTGTTTCACAACACTAACGGCCTGAATGAATCAAGGGTAAACTTCCTCCTTTACGTTTTCCGTAATTCCATAGACGGTGCTGCACAAAGTCTTGCCTGATCAAGAAAGTCAGAACTGGAATAAACTGTCAAACTGCAATAAAACTAAACTCTCACCGCCGCATTATGGCGACCAATGACAAATGCCCTATTTCAAAAACCTATGTACAATAAAGCTTGTCACAGAAGTAAAACACCTTTTTGAAAAAATTGGGAACAGATGAACAAGTAAAAGAAATTTCACAATAAAATTTGCGTACACAAAATAAAAGAGAAAAAAGCACCGCGCAACTTCATATAAAAGCCAAACTTTAAATGTATTACTTAATCAAAAAGGGGGCAGGAAAGGAAAGTGTGTGAGAACACGTAAAAAACAAGATTATTTTCCTATGATTACACATATGGAAGTTTTGTAAGAATCAACTACAGCAAAGGCGACAAGAAGGATTCCTAGAATCGGCCCTTTTTTCGCGCCCACAACGTGCACATACCGGACCACCACTTTCATTCTGAACATCGGTTTCAACCTACAAAAATAAATTTCGCGGTAAGATTGAAAGCAGATAACGACATTCCATAAATACCATTAAAAATAATGGAGGTCACTAATTCAAAAACTTAACAAGTTTAAGTAGACTACTTTTCGTTGTGTTAAAAAGCAATTACTTTCATCATTCGCCGCACGAAAACTTACCGGCACAAACAAATTGAATGATCCTAGAGATGAGAAATTTTGTAAAGAATCTATCGGTGACGGCGGTCGAATTGCTGTATTTACTCGAAATTCACGCTTGAGCAAATCAAGTTGTAATAATGCCTATAAAATTAAAGAAAAATCTAATTCAATGGACTTATTTTCTCCTGTTTTCATGAGGTTTTGAAAAAATTTTTCAGTAAAGCACAAACTAAGAAGACTAATTTATAACTGAATTCAGAAGCTGCATAAATTTTAAAACCAGAGCAACCTGGTCCCGTTCATATATCGCTTTTGACTTGTCAACTTCTGCTTGTTCCGCAAGACGACGGTAATACTCAGCATCCTTTTTCCATGCTTCGCAAGCCTGACGTGCTTGTTTCAGACCTTCTTCCCATGCAGTTAATTTCTGATGGTGGGCCACGAGTTCCTCACTTTTCCTCTTTAATTCCTTTTGTAGCTCTTCCTTGCTCATCTCGTGCTGCGGTATGGATAAATCCGTTTTTAAAAGATCTGAAAGGATCAACTAAATATATTACTGTTCGACACAGTCTTCATTTAATGCGCTTACTTCAATCCCAGTACTTGAAAAAAAAAAGTTGAGAAAGCGGACATTTGTAAGGCGCTTTTAAGAAGTTATCGCAATATCATTAAGATTCTTTGAAAGAGCACATAAAGAATTAATTTTTCATAGGAAACATTGATTTTTCCCACCACAAATCTGCTAATATTGATTAAGATAAAAAACTGCAATCAAAGCTTTTATCCGTTTTCTACACGAGGACGGTACGGTCCTACAATTAATTAACGTGTTAGATATTTGATGAACAGATTCATGCGGAAAAACTGATGTGCATGAACATATCCGTGTTTATGTCTAATATGCACCTAAATAACATAAAAAAACAGTGAAACATACCTGAACCTAGCGATCCTGGTAATCCCATTAACCCCTTCAACTGTGAAGCTGCCGAAGGTAAATCGATAGTCAGTTTATTTGGCTGAAACAATGATTCGCCAAGGGAAGCTAATGGTGGAGAGCCAAATGGAGAACTCGAATTGGGAATTTGCATTGGTGAAGAAGAGGATGTCATAGCTAAAAATAAAGTGGTTATTACGTATCTTACTTTCGCTTTTCTTAGCATTCTTAGGATTACGTCCTAAGAATGCTTTCGAGGCCTTATTTCTGAACAATATAAAACGTCTGATCTCATTATTTAATACTATGACATAGCTCGTTCTGTTTACTAGCTCTTACTTTCCGTAATGAGAAACTCGAGTTCAGAAAATAAAACTATATATAGCAAATGCAAAATAGGATAAACAGTAAGATGTTTCTTAACCAATAAAATAAATACATACATTTTCAATAAACCTGAAGTGATCTGAATATTTCTGTCTGAACCTAATGGTTTTTGTTCATATCACACATGAACGGTGTAAGACCTCCCTTATGTCCGAATTATTTTCTTATCACACATAACAACAGTGCAAGACCTTAATGTCCGGATTATTCGGTAATATAAATACTGTGACGCTAATTCGCCATAGTATTTACAATCTATATTGTCAATATTAATTTCATCAAACTTCAAGATTTCTGACCAACAAATAACATTCAGCAAAATGTGAAAGCTTACGCGGATTAGTGAAAAAATCAGGCAAGAACTTGTGCTCCTTTTGTTCGGATATAGGAGACAGTGCACTGCCTGACAATTCATCCAAAGAAAGTTCATCAATCGCTGCTGGTAGCACACGCATTGGTGCATCTGATGTGAACCGCGTCATTGCATTTAATGATGAGAAAGTGGGCAATGACGATACCAAAGCTTCGTTAGCGCTTGTTACTGAATAACCTTAAAAAATAGTTCCCCTTCATCCAAATGATCTATGATCATTTTTACGGTATCAGTTGCTAACTACAATTCAAAAACTTATACTGAATGAAATGAGAAGTAGATTTAGTGCACTTATAATGAGCTTTAGCAAGGTAAGAAATAGTGCCAGACAGGATTATAACAAACAATTTAAAGTAAATTTACCTAAATCTAGCTGCCCCATATTTAATGAAGAAGTTCGTATGCGACCAATGGCACTGTCGGTTATGCGCTGCGGCTAAAAAAATGTTAAATAGAACAAATTTAGTTCAAACGGATCAGACATCAATAGAAAACGACGAATATGAACTGCCAAATATAACTTGCAGACTTGGAAGTTAGAAATAGGACTTGCCGAAATTTGAACACGTTCAAATCCTGGAGCTTTCGGATAACTGCTTTGTGATCCTTCATCGCCACCAGCTGATGACAAAGTCTTTCCTGGCGCTTGCTTCTGTTTTAAAACTGCCTAAAATCTCGCTTAATCCATTGCTATTCCTTATCAAAATGGGGAAAACAGATCAAAAAAATCTTACTGAATAGGTTGGTGTTGAAGCTGATGTTGCTGTTTGCATTATATGATTTTCTGAAATAATCACAGATGAATGCAACTGAAGATTTTATTAAACAAATAAAACCAAACCCACTAAAGAGAGAAAAACTATATTCTAACACTACCTGATCGAGTCGTAGGAGAAGCAGCCGGTTCTGCGTTCCCCGAACCGGTAGAACCGCTACTCTGTTTCGGCGGCATGGGTGCATCTGGATTGTTACTTGGCCGATAATATGGGGCGCGTTGAACATGCAACTCTGAATCGTGATGCGCAAATGCGCAAAATACGGCACGAGGACAATAACCATGGTCAAGCATATCGTTACATTTAGTTGATTTATATATTTCAGGATGAAACTGTTGCTCGGTCCTTGTATGGCAGTATCCACAATCGTCGCCATTTTCACACTGTTCTGGTTCTAACCATTCATCTGCTGACTTCGCTGTTGGACACGGGGTTGATCTTAAAAGAATTTGAGATAAAGATATAACACAGCAAACTATATTTAATGTAGCGCGCCGTTATGAACTTGTAACATCTCTGATAATTTTCCATGTCCGTTCTAAATCAAATGGGCAGGTTCTCACCTATATTTATGCACAGCTGGAGGTCTTCGACGATCTTTCGAGTTGTGATAAAATGGACACGCATAACCTTGACGGCAAAGGCGCGCTGGTTTTTTGCACTGTTCAGTTTTATAGCATGACAAAACATGAACTTGGTCTATAAACAGTTTAAGCAAATTCACTCAGCGCCTTGAAAATCAGAAGATTAGAACACAAAAAAATCAAAAATAAAAAAAAAATGAAAAACAATGAGACAAAAAAGTGCCCATAATAATTCAGAATCAAAATATATTACCATGCCAAAGCGGGTCCTCCACAACAAAACTAGTTCTTTCGCGATTTTCTGGATCTAATAAGGCGCCATTTTGACTTTCCTGAGAATCATGCACAGCCTGTCGAAGATCCTGAACACTGTGCGCAAACGCGCAGTGAGGACCGTTTTTCGCACAAATACCACGTGCATCTGTTGGATGTACACACATAGCCGTTTTATAATACCGTAAGTGATATTTGCGTTCTACATCTCCCGCTACACGGTGTAAAAAACTACAACTGCAAACAAATATGGTTCAAATGAAACATAAAAATTCCTATATATTAATGTAGTGATACTGATTTCACTATCTAAATTAGCATTTTCTTGAATATAACGATTTAAGAAATTCGGTCACGATTAAAGTAAACAAGCTATATTTTACTGAAATTTCTTAAACATACCTATCTCCATCCGGACATATACCAGTATTTTCGTCATATTTGTCACAATACACATCGGCCGAATAGTTGAAAGTACCATCCGACCGTCTTACGGGACGACGTCTTCGCTGATTAGCAAAATGCCAGTTAAAACAAGTATATGGACGATGTTGCTGGCACTGGTGCTGTTTAAAATGTGGACATGCTCCTACTCGAAAGTCACGGAGATAACTAAAAAAAAATGAAGTCAAGCAACGAGATCATATGACAAAAGATGACTTCCCACAGCTAGAATAACAATCTACAACATCTATTTGTTACATACAGTCTAATCAATACGAACAGCTAGGAAGCAAGTATGAATTTCTAGGTAAGCTACCTAGAAATTAATACTTGCTTCTACGTCTCACATATTGCACTTAATTAAATTAAATCAAACCAAATAAAGGGTGATTGATGATTAATTAAATACTTTCACTTTTATTATGTTCTAAAACACACTAAAATTGGAAAAGAGAGGAATAAAGGAAAAACTTGATGAACGGTAAGAACGGTAAGTGCTTACTGTAAGTGATTCGGTTTCTCGGAGCTGTTAAGTGTTGGGCGGACAACATCCATGGCCACCATCCATGGAAGGGATTACATCCAGAGAATTTGGAGAAAATGTAAACAAAACACACAGTGCACCCCTTCCCTCCACCAAAGACACACACTCACATAAACCTTCCAGAGTACACTGACGAAAAATCAGCTGACAGCCTGGCGTTACGCCAAACAACACTCGTTCTGGAACTCAGAGACTCACGCGCGATTTCAACATACAGCCAAGTACAATTTGTTCCGGTCAAGCTTCGAGGAAGTAACTGGTTTAGGGTTATGACGAGCAACAGGTTATCATTGGTCATCTTCAAGCAAACTTCTAAAGTTCGACAACAAATTTAGGTGACTCTTATATGGTTTTAGGAGACATACGTATTAGAGCGTTATCACTTGATGCTGAAAACCTCAAACAATAATTGTTTTGTTCGCTTTCCTCACCGATAAAAATATGTTTGGCACAGTTTGAACTTGATTTAAACAAACTGTTAGGTAGAATGAAACAAATATACTCGTGGTAGCACTAATGAAAAACTTCTGATGACGAAAAATGGAAAGAGAAGTTGCTTGCTTCATTTAATCCAAAAAAGACGATTTTTATGGTTTACGATGAGAGCTCAGGTTAAATAGGGTGGTAAGACGCAATAAAGTATAATAGGAAGTGATAAGCAGGCAGCAGATGGTGTGTTCATCACGACACCATCGATTTTAAAATGCACTTTATTCTAGGATTTGATTTGAACTAGCTTGAAGAGAATCAATCCACCAAAGTAGTGCAATTTTAGGAATAGCATTGTGCGATTTAATGCAACAAAGTGGATATCAACAGTAATGCAATCAAATAATTACTGTAGATATCAAGCTTAAATAGTTAATCAAATGATTTGTCGCAAGATATATATTTAAAATTAACTCTAGCGAATAGGTTCTGGTAACTTATCGTACGCCGGAAATTTTTTCACTTCTCTGTGTTGTAGTTTATGAGTTTTGCTTCAATTTTTCCTTAACTCATTTCATTCATACATATCAAATGTGAACTGAAGAAAATTTTGTTTTTGTGTGTAAAGCTGCAAGGTATAACATTCTCAAGTCAATAATATGTTTTTTTCATTCATTGACCAAACAAACAGCGGGCTTCCATTGAGCTAAAGACCGTCTAATATCTGAAAGAACATTTTACTACCTATAGAGCAAATAGATACTCCCATCAATTAAAATGATTTTCAGTGGTGTTCTTGTGATTACCGATTTTTATAGCTTAGGAATATTATTTTCATAGTTTTACACTCAAAGGGTGGTTATGTGCATTCGTGCCCGTCTGCATACCTGCGCTTCGCAAACTTTAGATTATGGGAAACACTGGTAATCTTTGCAGACTTCAAAAAACAAGAAATTATTATAAAACCGTCACACAAATTTTAGTGAAAGTCGAAAATCGCAATGCCTTTCCTGTAAATTGTCACTTTTGCTTTCAATAAATTCATCCTAATTCTGATATTGAATAAAAATGAGAGATTGCAACACTGAAACATAATACTTTAAAAGACTTAACGATTGATATCTCTCAAATTTTATATATCATCTTTATGACGCATTTTAAGTAGGATATATTACTTAAAAATGAAGTATAGATATACAGAAAAGAATTCGAAACATATGAATGAAATGAAAACGAGCATGAAAACATATGATGAAATAAAAATGAGCATCATTTTGGGTTAATGACGAATCCCAATGGTGTCGATGGAATGGTCTGTAGTGACATCGTTGACCATCTATCCATCCCTCCTGCTGTTGTTGCAATGTGACTATTGTATCTATGTTAAATGGCGCGCTACTGTAGTAGTTACGGAAGTGATGATGGTTGCGGCCTTGGCCTTGTCTTCAGTCTATGGCTGTCGATATTATCATTCATCTATCTGTCTTCAGCGATAAGCGTCTCACTTCGAGCACTATTACTGCGTGATGGTCAACATGTTATAATTCGTGCATTGTTTTATTCATATGAATTGCATTAAAACTTCAGTATTACGCATTTTTTTGCCCCTACTGTATTTATATTATTTTGAAGAAGTTGGAAATCATCGTAAGAGAATTCAGTTTGAAAATCGATTGGAATTTAGATTGCAATTGAAACTTGGTCTTATCAGACGACAACGAAATATAAATAGCAAGCAGTATGTTACTTTTGCTACAGCTTCTTTTTCCGACATTTACTACAATACTTTAATCAGGCATGGTTCACGAATCAAAACTACTTGTATAATTAACACTTACTTTTTAAACCGACATTTTCAAAATTTGTTTTAAGACTCAAAATATCTTGAAAAATTTAAGTCACTGCCATTTCGATAACAATTTTAACCTATGAAAAGATTGAAGTCTATCTCTATCTCTCTCTTTCTATTATTTTCTATATCCAATTCCGCAGAACCGAAATAAGTTCGAATGTACAGCCATCTCAGTGTTCCCTTAAATCACTGGGATTAAATTTTGCATTCGTTTCTCGGTATGATTTCCGATTGGTTGGACTGGTGATGAATTTCTTGGATGAGCTGACACGTTACGTTCTCGTTGTAGTTCTGTTCGTTGGGCAGTGCTGGTTATTTTTTTTTAGATTTCTTCTTCATATTCTTATGGGATCAGATGCTTTAGTAAAATATATACGATCGGCGCTTTGGAAAATGATTATTGTCCATGAATTTGTGATTCTCCTCTTTCTACACATTAAAAATCTGAGGTGTCAGGTGTAAAGCAAGTTGTCGACAGATAACTTGTGCATAAAGTTATTATACACTGTGCCACAGAAATCTGATTTGATTGCAATGAATATATTTCGTTTCGCTGGTGATTCTTCTCATCTTATTGCTATTGTCATACTAGTTGTAAAAATATGGAAAACACGCTCTTGTGCAGGTTTGTAAATTTAAAAACCTTGTAAATGGGAAAATTTTAATGGTATCGAAAAATTTTAATATATCTCTTTGTTAAGGTGCTACAGGCTTTTATATTACTGCATCGAAAGAAACAAAATAATTTCAGGACTTTCTGGAAAATCACAGCTATTATTTGCATTTGTCTTCACATCGCGTTATTTAGATCTCTTGAATTTCATTTCATCATATAATACAGTTATGAAGGTATACAGGTTTGAATATTGGCAATAGATTTTGTTAGATTTAAATTTATTAAGTTTGGCTGGTGGTTAAAATAATTTTATGATTGCGAATGGATAGCATTTTTCTTACATTGATTACTGAAGTCACGGCTAATATTTGTCAGAAATGAGCAGGATGATCCATTATAATAAATCCATTATATGAGCAGTTCACTGGATTTCTCACTTATACCTGCAACAGCGAATAGCAATTACGGTGGAACTCGCTAAATCGAGGTGGTGAAAGTCAAGTGCTACGGTGGATCCATTATATGGGGATTAAAATTCACTTTTCTGAGCCTTTATGAAACAGTTTATTGATAAGTATATTTGAATATGGATGGAAATTTATTTTAATAAACATTCTTTTTTATTATTTCCTTTCAATCTCCACATTAGTTTATCTCAAGCTTTGCTTTTGAAGCATTTGTTTTGAATGGATCATTTCTAATTGTCATCAATGAAACCAATTAATCAAAACTGTTAAATCAACAAGCTGTCTGTTTTCAGATTTTTTTTCTTGTATCTTCATATGGAACCGTTTATCTGATGTTTTTCAAGTTCAGAGCTACTTATGACCGGTAGGATTTCCTCTCCTTCGAGAAATTTTGCAATTCTGATGCAGTGAAACAGTGCTTTATGAATGAAAATTCTCTAACAGATTTTTATGTTCCAGAAAGTCTCCTTTTTTGTCTTCTTTAATTAGATTTGTCTTACTCCTAATCATTTCCTAATTTTCTCCTTGGGTCGAATTTTATCTTTGTGAGTTAATTTTTCGAAACATTTCATGTTTTACCATAATTTCAGGAATCACGATACATTTCGGATAGAATTATTAATTATTCCAGCAGCAGCACTTGCTTTGCTCATCAACCACCAGTTTTCGTTCATGGAGGTTAGTTGTGATTTTTTGGTATTTCAAAAAAACGAGTATTCCGAGACTTTACCTTTTTCCAATGTAGCGATTTTGAGATTCGTTTTAATGAAGTAGCATTTATTAATTTCTTGAGATTGAATTTGATTTTGACAATTCTCTTGAGTAATTAGATTTGTTTTTTTTGGCGAATTATTAGGAATGTTCTCAGCTTAAACAAGACAAAGTTGAGATGTGTACGGTATCAACCAAAATCAAAACGAAATGCAGTGAATACGATAATTAAAATTAGTATTGTAAACAGTGTGAATGAAATAGTGAAGGCAAAAAAGTAGCGGTTCAAAGCTTCACAATTATATCCCCGAAAAATCGAAATAAGCATTGCATATCATTACTCATTGCTTAGATTTTTCTTTATAATATTCCAGTAGATATTTAGGTTATAAATAGTGATAAACTTTATGACTGTCAGCGATATATCGTTATTTTGTTGCGGTACGTATATTTTTTTCTGTAGGAAATCATCATCTCTAAAATAAGTGGGAAACGTATAAACCAAGTATTTCACAATTTAGGCTCAGGCGCCTTACTTTTTTATTTGTTAACTAGATTTCCTGGTCGTTTTCCATATATTTGGAAGCAGTTGCCATCATGCCGCAGTTGTTCATGCTTTCGCGTACCGGAAGTGCTGAAACAATCACCGCTCATTATTTGTTTGCATTGGGAACGTATCGGGCTTTGTATATCTTGAATTGGATATACCGTTACTACACTGAGGAATTTTTCGATCCTATTGCAACTGTTGCCGGTGTTATACAAACCGTACTTTATGCCGATTTTTTCTATCTCTATGTTACACGAGGTAGTGTTTCGAAATTAGCTTTCCTTAACAAATTTTTCAAATGTACTTTTTTTGCTACAGACACTTTTTCATGATTTTGTTTCGTTTCCTTTTTGTTGTATCTCGCGGTTATTCCTTTCTGATCATGAATTTCGATCCTTTTTTTGAGTTTCAATATATACTTTCTTCGTGTATAATTTATCTTATAATTACTGTCTATTTAGTGATTCGAGGACACAAAAATCTGGAGCTTCCCGCGTAATCTTTTCGTTATCAAGAATCGCGTCCTCACTGCTTATATTTTTATAAAAATCTGTCTTTGTTTACTTACATAATTTTAAATCGGTGTTAAATCAGTTATCTATGGAGCATTTTTCGAAACTTTCATGTATGCAGTCACAAGATTTTGACATTCAAGAATTTTTTTGGACAGGTTCGGTTTTAATATTCGTTTTCGAGTGAACTTTTCGAATTCCATGAACAACCTATTTGTTACTGCGCCTTAAAACAAAAAAACACCTTACGCATCTGCTAATGTTTTGATATGTCTTTGTTACCTTCTCGGCAAATATATTTATCGAGGAAAATATTTTAACTAATTCCTGGAAGCTGTCGTTATTCATGTGCAAAATTCCAAATATAACTCCGAACTCATCCATTTTATAGGGGAGTATGAAGAAATAAACTGTGATGGCAAAAGGGTTTGAAATCATACTGAGTGGAAATGAATTTCAGTATTTACCTTTACGGTAAGGGATTGAAATTCACTTACACTTGGTGCGGTCTTTCTCTTTACGTGGTAGAAGTTCCTCCAAAATCTAACGGTGCTTCGTAAAGTTTCGTTCAAACTCGTAAAGAACTCGAGATCTGCATATCCTTATCACGGAACACAAGTTATATATGTTATGGGTCGGGATTTTAAAAGGTGTATGACGGAAAGGAGAAACAGATAGCAAGATAGTAAATGAAGAAAGCATAGATCACCAATAAAATATCTAAAATCTTCCTCGGAATTTCGAACTTGGATCCGTGTTGTATATACAACAATGCTACAAAGTCAGCGGTATTAGTTTGTGGTTAGTTCCCAGGTAGTCCAGAAAAAAATAGCATGCGACATCTTAGCTCTTTTATTCCACAGTACCTTCGAGTACACATAAAAGAATTCAAAATCTGTTATGCACCCCGATAATTTTCAAAGCTCCCGAACATTTTTGAAATTTGGATTTTATTGAAAAAAGGTATCTCAATTTTTTTCCATCAAACTAGACATAAAGGAGAGACGAGAATGTTGCAACTTCGGCTCTAAATTAAATTCATAATCACATTTTGTGAAAATTAATTTTCTACTGTTCATCCTGAACTACCACAAAAAAAATCTTTACGGTTCATTCGATTGCAATACCAATCTGTGCCTTGCCCTCCTCAAATTGTCTTTCACCTTAAATTTAAGCTGAAACATTCGGTATCCTCATCGCTCATCATTTTAAACTATGGTATGAGAATCCAAATTCACCATCAATAAGACTAACTTCCCACTCCATTTCTTTGCCTCAATCTCATTATTTCAAATCCTACACCTGAAATGACTGTTAGGAGTCCGGGAAAAAATGAGTCAAATTAGACCATCCTGAAATTTTGTGGAAACTCTACCAATCTCAGTGCTCAGCCTCTTGAAAGAAACCACTTGTCATAATGAAAAAACATTTAGGTAAGCAGCACCACCTGCTTTCACAAATTCGGAATATGACTGCAAAATTTATTTCTCACAGATATCGCTATATTAGTGCAAATAGATATTGTTTTTCAAAGCGTAAATATTTAGTATGTAGAACCTAAATGATTTTAAATACCGATAATGGACACGCAAAAAAGCACACAAAAACAGAAACAAAATCACAGCACGCCCAACCGAAACATATTCACAGAATTCTATCCGCTACTACCGTTGCTTTAGGTCATTAATTTTGATATTTTTTATAAGATTTCCAGGTATATGTTAACAGAAGGTGAAGGGAATAAAAAAAACATGTTCTTCATCCAGCAACAATTCGGCTACTGTGTTTAACGCTTGCACAGCTTTTCCCTCCTCCCCAAAGTAAAAAATTTGAAATTATTGTGGATCACATCAATTTCTGTGATACCCCGGAAATTAACTGCCACAATATTCCTGAGATTCTCCGGCCATATATATATAATATAAACACGCATATAAACATAAACAGAAAAAAGTAAATAAATTGAAACTGAGCGATGTCCGAAGTTGATGACTAAACATTTCCTAGGATACGAGACTCAGCCGTTGTCCTCCTCCAATGAGAAAACCACTTTTCAAGAAGGATATTGGTTAAGACAAGAAAATGAAAATGACCGAAACTGAACAGAGGCTATAACAGCAGAATGACCAACAGCAACAGAAGCAACAGCAGTAGCAGGTGCACTAGTTCCAAAAACAACTTTCAGAAGTACACTCAAGTATCCAAAATATTCTGCACAAAAAAACAATCAGCACGTATTCAAATTGTGGTAAAAAAAAGAGGAAAACGAAGACCCGCTGTCGAAGACAATCTTGTGCACGGAACATTCTTTAACAAAATCGCATAATTCGTAATAGTCGCATATTCTCCGGGACATTACTTTGATGGCCTTCTTGTATTTTCTGACATCCTTGCTGACTCTGAGTACCATTGCAACGCTATATGCCTTTCCATTAGTCTCAAATTCTTATCTAAATCGATTCAACTACTAAATTTATTCTCAATACTTCAATTAGCCTAAACTTTCGAAGACTTCCTGACATTTGATGGAGAAATTTTGAGAATTTCGTTGCATATCACCACTACCTTGACATCATGTTTCAGATGACAGCCTTAACTACTTTGATAGAAAACTAATAGACAGAAAAGAGAAATATTTTCCAAAACTTTTCTAAGCTATCAAGTTATACACATCAAAACTATCAGTACGCATAGACAATCAGAACCAAAGAGTATGAAAAAGCAGACAATATTTCTGCAGTTAAAGCAAATTTTTTAGAAAACAATACATGACAACAAATAGAAATGTGTTCACTGCTCCAATAATTCAATATTTTGGAAAAAACTGGGTAAATTACAAAACTTAATCTGACTGATGATAGAAAAAGATAACCAAAATGAGCACATCAATCTCAAAAATACGTAAAATTCACTCATCACACGAAAAAAGTCAATAATTTTTATTGGAACAACCACATCTGTCTAATGCACGCAATACCAAAAGCCTAAGAAAACGAAGCAAAAACATCTTGCTTTCTTAATGCTTAAAAAAAAAAGCCCCTCACTGATTGCTGGATAAAAACTCTAGAAGAGTTTTGCTTTTCGTTTCAAATTAATTCTTTTCCACTCCGGTAACTTGTAGAACTCGATTGGACTCATACTGAACGTCTCTTCAAACTGGTTTCTGTTTAAGTGTCGCTCAAGATGTGCGCGATCCACATCATCCGGTAATTTCTTGTTGGATGTTTGCAACACGTTCAGTGGATAGATTTTTGCCGGTTTGCTCATATCTGGCAATGAACTTCTCAAAACACCACGACTTGCACCTGTACCAGCACCGTTTACGGCACAAGTACGATAGTCATCCGGCAAAGTGCCACCACGTCCAACCAGCGATTCTAAAAAAAAAATAATAAAGGAAAGTTTAAAAGCTAGAACAGAAATATGATTAAAATTCTAGTTCTGTCCTATTTTTTGAATGTTTAAGATGATTTTCGAATCCCGCATAATGAACAAACCAAAATTTCAACAAGTTCATTCTCTGAGTTTTCAAAAGCAGTCACTTCTTGTTTTTTAATTGTTTATTTCTAGTTTACGAAAGTTCTAATTACAAAGCCCAAAATAATAAGTATCTTCAGTTACAGCAGAAAGAAACAGTACGGTAAATAGATAAGTTATATGCACCGCTTTATCAGGTTGTCAGTAAAGAACTATCCAGAACAAAATAAACCATGGGTAACAAAAAAACAACCACGTGCCTTCAGTTACTGAATTATGAAAGTTCTCAACCTGTAAATTCTTACGGTGTTTGTGCCAGGTGAGTTTCCTATAGCTGAATCAAGCAAAGCCTTAGGTTTCAATGCACAAGCTACCTTCTGCCAATTTCTTGAAATCTGGGCTTTGAACCGAAAACCAAAACTTTTGTATATAGGTATCCGTGAAAGCATATTTACATTCAATGTTGATGCAACGTTAATTGGTCATAATTAAAGTGACATATGACTGTCTTCAAAACATGAATTCTGTCTATAATAAATCAAAACATTCTTGGTAAAATTTCCCACGATTTCTCATGTTTAAACAGTGACCGCCCTTTTTAACCATTGTTGGCTTATAAACAAGAATTCAGACACTAGGCTAGCTAGACTTCTCTTTTTTTATTTATATCTGAGTAATGTACATAACGACAACCACAACGTGGAGATTAGTGGTTTCTTTTGCTATAATGAATACCAATGAGTCATCATATGCTTAAAGGCCCATTCAGAGAGTCCATTACCTACTGCATTGGTAGTGGACAAAAAGTTTGATGAACTAACTATTACATCAAAAAATACCACCGTATTTCTAAAATAAATTTCAGCATAACAAACAGTAGTCAGCAAGAACCTCAAAGTCGAGTCTTTCTTTATTATTCTTACTTCGCATTATAGACATTCATCGCTAGTTATAATAACTTAATGTGAACTGAAGTTTTATAAGATTAAGATTATGATACGAAGCAACTTTTCAGATAGCTAAATCCATAATCTGTTATGGCATTATTTTTTGGTATTCAATAAGATAAATAATTAAGTCAATTTATGATCAGTACTGTTACTAACAGAGAGCTTTACACTTCAAATTATATCGGCGAACATGAAAACATAATGCTTTAAGAAATATCTTCTAACGAGATACGTGCCACGCAAACATAGATTTAAAACTAACAAAGTTTAAACTTACGATCAGAAAAATGGGAGCTAATTGTTGTGTTGAGACCATCCAAGGAAACATTTTGACCATAATGATAACCATCCGGTAGCGTCGCTGATCGACCAGTCATTTCAACATATGATCTCGGAATGTGGAAAAATGGTATTGATGTCGTTGCCGCTCTGTCTGTTTGCCTCTGCCAATAAACCCATGGTTTCGGTCGATTCAAATGACGCGAAGGAGCTAAATAAGTTATGCTTAATGTAACAAACTACAAGCAGGAAAAGCATTTAAAATATAAGCTTACATGCATTTACAGGAGTGTCATAGCGAAATCGCAAGTGTGGCATCTTCTTGGCAGATGGCGTACGGCTTGCATTTCTTGGATCCCAGTGCAGCGGCAATCTGAAATGATACTAGCAATTATACAGAGCATATATTAATAAAAAATAAATGCTCAGCACGTACTAATCGAAAAGCATAACTAATAAGTATCCCTTTTAACTATATTTAACTATATTGAATACAAAATGAAAATACAGAAAACAGAGACAAGAAATTGGAATAATTTGAACGGACTCTACTAATACAAAATACAAGTTAAGCAACTTAATAGATGGATGGAGACCAAAATAAACCTTTGTTTCTTGTGCACTTCTTCGAGATTCTGTTTGATAACATGAGCAATTGACGAATCTTTGTCGTATGTATCTAACTGCTCCACTGCCCGCCGTAGCTTCTCATCATCAATTCGATCCGACTCATCATAATCATCTTCATCATTGTCATTTTCAACAGATGACCATGAAAGATGGCGCTTAACATCTTAAAATTAGATTTGATTAAAAATCAACAAAAACAACACATAGATATTATATAAGTTACCTTTACCCTGTCCGAATTTGACAGATACTGAGAAGCGTATTTCGCCCCTAAATCTTGACATGGAAAGTAAAACATCTATTCCTTATCTCAGATTCGAAATCTGAAGTGAGGAATAAGTGCTTCAGTTTTCTTTTATATACGACAGAAGAAATGAAAGCGTACATTACATTTTTGAATGATAAAAGCTTAAAATGAATAATATGGTATCGGAATCTTGGATAGCTCTGCAACAAAATCTAACGGTTCAAGTGATCGCCGTTTAAGAAAAGCTAAAGCAGTGAACATTTTTCTGAGTTTCTAGGAAAACGGAAAAAAAAACATGTTTCTACTTCTCACAAAAAATTTTTCAGAAATCCCAACTAATCAATTTAAGTTTTCCTCTTAACTAGTCATCCCAGATGCCAGTCCGGACCTTCCGAATGAACTTCTGACCCAAGAAAACAGCTGAAGCGTAAAAAGTAAGTAGCTGGAAAATTTACCTTTCAGCTATAATAAAAATCTGTTCACTGTCAAAGTGCTACTAATTCTTTACAGATCCTCAAAAAATTCATCTCTATTCAAACAAAAAAAAAAACAAACCATCAAGTGCATAAGGGTACGGTGGCGCTGGAAAATCTGCTCGTTCAATTGGTGGAACAATACCGGGTTCTGGAGCATGCCCAGCAGGATAATGGGCCATCTCAATAGGTTCTTCATTATCCATATGCGGTGATCGCGGACGTGGAGCACTTTTTTCGAGATCTTCTGCTGAAACAAAAATTTCGAAGCTCAAATTGATACGGCTTTTATGGAGTTGCCTATGTTTTAAAATTCTGGCCATATATAAGCAAAAGTAAACGCACTTAATCGTTGCATTCCTGTTTTCAACATCGAAAGCCGTGACTTCCGGATTTTAATTGGACCTGAAAAATAACAAGAAAAACATGTCTTATTTATGCAGGTACGCAAATTCTAATTGTATACGCTGAAAGAGATACAGGATCTAAATTGAAATCAAACGTACTTACCCTGAGGAGTATGAAACTGCGTAGGCTGCGGTGGATGGGGTGGAATTGGTTGCTTCAAATAGGTTTGTTCAGCTTCTGGTAAGAGATACATATAGGTCAAATGCTGACCAAAATGTGAATGGTATTTCGGTTCTTCACGAGCATCGCCTGCATGATCTGTTGGCTGAAAACATGAAAATTAAACCAAATTGACGTATTAAATCATGCTAATTTAAAATATTTGTTCAAGGACAGTATTTCATGCCATTTTACTTGGATTCCAATTCATGATAAGCAAAAATGAACAGCTGTATGTCCAATACATTGTAGACCACAACAGCGCTGTAACCCCGAATCGATTATCAGATTATTAGTTTCGATCATTACTTTTTCTTCAGGAAAAAAGTGAAGACATCTTATGATAAATTATTAATTATTATATTAAGATAATTGATAATATTTGTCTCGGAAACCCAGAGTAATCAATTCCAAAGGCTTTTCATATCATTCTATGCATATATAACGAGACTGATGATCCATAACATTATAGAAAGAAGCTGAAGCAAGGTAAAAAACGATGCCATGCTTGTACGCTATTAATCATTAATTTAACCCATAAAATTCCATTTAACTCAAAAATATTAAATCATTAGCATAGGTACAAAATATATCAAAACGACTTACAGCAATATTTTCCGTCACTTTTGTATGCTCGCAACTTGGATGCCAGATTTCATCACCTTGCATATACATTTCCTGTCCATCACCAAAGCGTTCACAACAACGTGAGCAACGAGCACAAGTTGGATGAAACTTGTAACCACCAGCCTAAAATTTTATACATACGTCTCACGCACCTCAAACTATTACTTAATTTGAAAATTGAGCAAATCTAACCTTCAGAAGGGCTCATATATTAAACATACATCGTGATGTCTCAAATCATCTAACCTTTCCACAGCATATTTCAAGACGGTTTAAAAATTCGCTACATTATTTACCTGCAATACTTTTCCAGCAATATACTTATCACACTCATAGCACCGGACACCATATTTCATGTTGTAATCTCGAACACAAAATGGTTTGCCATCATGTGTCATGTATTCCCCTTGAAGTACAGTAGCACATTCAGAACATTTAAAACACCAAACATGCCACTGTTCTCCAAGTGCCAGCAATACCTGACTGCTCTGCAATGGTTGTCCACAAAATGCACACCCTAAAAAGCTTTGAAATTCAACCTGATATTACGTACTGACGCTAACATAATTTGGACTGTGACAGAGACAACAAACCAAGAGCAAAAGTAGCAATAAAGTAATTTGAAATTAAACTACAGCTAACTTGACGAAACTGTAAAATACCTGCAGGTGAAGCAAGAAGAGGTGATGGTTGCGTTGGTGGGGTAATAGGGGATGCTGGTGACAAGGAAGTTTCATCAACGTGTTTTAGACTTTGTTGTTCGGCTTTCACTTTCAAAGGCACTGACAAAGCTCGAAAATCCTCAGCACACAAAAACTGTCCTTCCGAACCCGTGTAATAGCCAGTTTCCCTCAATGACCTTGAGCACTCTAAAAATTATTTTTTCCAACTTCGTTAGTATAAAGAATACAGAAGAAACTGAGATACTGATGAAAAACTTTATGAATCGCTTTGGTCTCCAAATAAATTCGAAATAAGAGAAGCTGGGTGAAGACAAGATAGAACCATGAAATCAGAAACAATAATGAAACCATACTTTCATATGATATAGGAAAAAAAATGAAAAAGGAATGCTCCGGAAACTTTAAAAAACGTCCAAATATCTTAACTGTCAAAAACTTCCTACAATTCCTCTTATTGGAGAGTTTTGAACATTTCGTGTCCTTTAAATCTTTTGGGCGACTTACCTCAAACAGAATAAACCAAACAGCCTTAAATCATTTCGAAGATGCCAGCTTGTCATAGATGATAGCAAAATGATAAAATGATGAAAAACAAAATGAAGAGAATTATTACTTAGATATGATTAATCGGTTCTTCCATTTCTTCAGAAAATAAAGAGATCTTTTTGCGTTTGTGTGCGTGAACTACAAATCTCCAAGCAACCTTTTTGCCTCAAAACAAACGAACAACTTGGAAAATATTTCCTATAAGCTACTCATTTTAAGCAAAGTAAAAGATGTATATAGAAACCTCATCACTTATTAAGGAGCAGCTGCTTCTATCTAGAAACCAAATTACCTTTGAAAAAAGCAGAAAGCAACAATGAACAATTATATGGATTTTTTATCGGTGGTGTTTCAAAACTTAAGATAAAATTAGCACAAAAAAGTTTACTTAAAACCTCCAGTTCACGGATAACTCAGTGTTCTTCACTATGCATTCTAAAAGGCTTATTACAACTTCAGTAATGGAGCCGTATGCAATTCGTCAATTGTTGAAAATATATTATTACAGAATCAATAAGAACTTTTCTTGCATTTAAAAAAAAAAACTCAACGTTTTGGATAATCCATTCATAACGATACTTCCACACTTACGTGTTCGATCTTTACTTCTCACTCCAACGGGACTACAAAGTCAACTCTTTGACAAGTGCCCGATTTCATTTGCAAAAAAAACTAACAAAACACGCAGTGAATATCCTGTATTTTCCCAAGATAGATCGGATTTAACGACTTACTCGCACATTTAAAACACGAAATGTGGATGTATTTCTCGCCTTCCGCCTTCAGAATTTCACCAATACACTTCTTTCTGCACACATAACATTTTTTTCCTGTAAAGAAAAAGAACAATCAATATAGCTTTTGTAACCTCCACAAAGAATAGTGATAACTATAAGGTATGTGATCTCTTTCTAGAAGCTGAAGAAGACATACCTAATGTAAAAAGTGTCCATAATTCTAACAATTCCATCACTCAGGGTAAAAGATTACTATTAAGTTCTATTATGTTGAGCTACTTTAATAGAGGCATCATTGAATTAATGATAGTATATGGCAATTTACTGATGCTACGGCTGACATCAAACTAACCATCCTCAACACAACCGAAAGAATCGATGTTTAAGTCGTATTAACGAAAACAAAATGAATTGGAAGATAGGATACGAGAAAAATAGATATTTAAAGAGTGGGAATGCCAACGATTCATGCTCCTCAATAGAAATAAAAAGAAGTATAATTAGGTTAAGTTACTGATTTGCTCGCCATAACTGCTGGTTTTCATCAGTAAACAAAGGTAAAAAAATGAAATACCAATGGGTAACGACTATTGTCTATTTCTTGTTTGAAAGTAAATTATTGTCACTCGTCACAATAAAATGAAACTTCCCGAAAATAAAATAAACTAACCCATGGCGGCGACACAGAGAGATGCAAGGGGATACTTTCGCTTTACTGGATGGATGGATAGATCACTTGGCCGTTCGTTTCCTTCGAACCGCGTGTGGATGAGGATATGGAATGAGCATTGCAGCAGCTGCAGCAGCAGTGGCGACGGTAATAGCACACACAGAGCCTAATGAAAGACGGCGGGGAAGGGCAGAGGGCTGCACACCGAAGGTACCCAAAAAATCGATCAATAAGTGGTATTGGTTGGAATAAGAGAGAGAATGGCGGTGGTTGTGGGCTGAGATAAAAACGATTTGTGATGAAATAATCAAATAGTGCTATAATTCGACCCATGTTACTAATTGTTATCTGGAATCATATGGATTCTTCATCTGACATAGACAGGAAGATAGCAAAGATGGTTGGCTTATAAACACTTTGATAAGTGCACTGTCATTTGGCGAATGATAGTCTACTGGAGGATTAACCGACCGAATAAATAAAATGGTTGAATTTGGGGAGATAACTATGAGCAATTAATCCTTGTAAAGGTGAGGAAAGAGCTGCGGGTTTTCTTCTGCTTGTACGTAGAACTTCAGCAATGAGGTATAACAAATAAATTTTACCCACAGCGAATTGGATGTGTGTCTCTCTCTCTGGACACTTTGTCTACTAGATGTGGACACACCTGAGACAGAACATCCCCTCTCTGACCATCAGGTATTTCATCACTTTTTACCTGGTGCTTTGTCGCATCTGATTCATATTCGAACGTTCTTCCGTTTATGTCTAATAGTTCAGTGAGCGGAGTTAAGGTTATTTATTGGAAAACAAAACAAGTTCCTTTTAAAACGTTAGGATCAGCTTTCCTGATATTAGATTCGAAGTAATTTTGGTCAGCGGCACTCAATTTGTTCTGATTCAGCTTAACTTGTCAGCATACGTTTCATTTATTTATATTAGCTGATAAGTTTTAACTCTGCGTAAACCTCAAGACACAGCTTTCATTACCATTTTATTAATTTTGTCCTTGTTTATTCGCCTTTTGAAGTACATAGATTGTTTGGTTAATTGCAAGGTATTTTATTTCAGATGAAACAAATAGCGATGAGTGCTGATTGTGGAAAGAAAAGCGTCCTCTTTGTGTGCTTAGGTAACCGCATAATTTTCGATAACTTCATGAGCATACATGCATTGTAATTATAAGAAATAGAGTTAAGGCCCTGTGGTTGTTATAGACTTCGTTCTAACCGTAACAGGTGCATGTGGTATCCCTGCAAATCGCGAAGAAGAGTAGATAACTCCACAATATGGTTCTTCATTCCATTTCCCTTCATAAGCGAATGCTTTATATTTTGGAGAAGATAAATGTTACCTTTTACCATGATAATTTAAACTCCTAGTGCAGGCAACATTTGTCGGTCACCGATGGCCGAAGGAATTTTTTTGGATCTCATCAAAAAGAAAGGTCTTACGGATAAATGGATTGTGGATAGTGCTGCAGTTGCCAGTTTTCATGTTGGTAAATCTCCGGATAAAAGAACGATGACAACGTTGGCTAATCATAGGATAACGGATTACAAGCATACAGTTCGCCAGGTTTATTTCAATTCGTCTCATTTATTTCTCTTTTATTATTTAATTTTTTGGGACATCCATGAGAGGGAAAGAAGAAACTTGTGCGTTGAATGTAGAGTTTTCCATGGGAAGAATATATTTCCTTATATGAGAATTTTCAGGTGACTGACACCGATTTCCGTGATTTCGACTATATATTTGGTATGGACGATAAAAACATCGAGTAAGTTCAATGCTTTTTTGTTAAAAAAAAGTGATATTTCGTTATGGAAAGTAACTAACCGTAGTGTCGCAGATAAAAAGCGCGTGGGGGAAGGAATAGGAAGAGGAGCAAAAAAAGTTCAAATCAGGGGGAATATGAAAATTATGAAGGAAAACGCACTTTGATTTTTTTCTGATCCGTTCTTCCGTTTTCAGAAAATTCCTGCAACACTACTTTTTATGAATAAATTTTTGAAAAGTTATAAAGATCTTCACGCACTACTTACATGAGATGTTTGCAGTACATTTATGAGGTGTTCTTTCGAACTTTCCTCTTTACAGTAGAGGTAAGCAGATAATAGAGCATCGTCCATAATTTCTCAACTCATTTGTGCATATTTATTATTTTTATTACTTTCTCAGAGATCTGAACAATTTACGAAGAAATGTAAAAGGCAAAGCAACTATTGAATATTTAGGCAGATATGATCCGGAGGGTGTTTTGGTCATACCTGACCCTTTTTACAGTCGTGAAATACAAATGTTTGAAAAGGTAATTTATTGATTTCTTATCCATAGTTCTGCTTCTGTGTTTGTTATTACATCATGGTATTCATGACGTAGCTGTAACTTCGGTCTTAAATAATGTTAAATTCTACACATTTGTTGTAAAAGATGTTGTGCTCTCAAGCTGTTTCCAACTGCTGTTATTGGTTATATTTTCAGGTTTACGAACAGTGTTTGAGGTGTTGTCAAGTATTTTTGGAAAAAAACTCATGATTTAATGGCCTAACTCTTAAAAAATTGTCCACATTGTTTTCGTGCTTTTTAATTTATTTGATTTTCATATATTATTCGCATAAATGAATGAATCACAGTGTATGGACACACGGCATTGGTGCATATTTTATTTTAGAAATCAGGACTTTAGAGGGATATGAGCAGAAAAACAATTGTTGGATATCTGAGTAAGAATGATTTATATATATTAAAAAAGTAACGTTTTCGAATTCAAAACTGTTCCAAGGGCTTTTTGTCAGACATAGATGTATTGTTTGTGTTACCATGTGATTTATTATTTCTTATGTGTTATTGCCTTACCTTTTACTGTTTTCTTTGGTTCAAGTAAACTTTTTGCTAGATTTTGAGTATTTAGCTAGTTTGGTTAGTTTTTATGCCGTTACTTTTTGTCTATCAGATACTTCGTGATCGGGGTAGAACATGACCGGAATTAAGAGACTAAGATGCTACTTCATCATTGGCTATTCGATGGGGACGTTGGGGCAGAAACGCTGTAGTATAATTAGTTATAACTGTAGAATAACAATTTGCGAAATCTCTAGTTTTGAATCTCCAGTGCCAACGACTAGCGAAATCTCGAATTTTACAAGGATTTAAAAAAGCCTGAGGAATAAAGATGTCCAGAGCACCGAACTTTTTCAATCAATGATGTCCTTGTGGAATGGTATTTAAGAAAAGTATTAGCTTACATAAATTGTTTGAAGATTTCACCTGCTGCATAGTTATTTGCAGAAAATGCCTGGTTTTGATTCACGAATAATGTACCTGATAATGAGGTCTGATCTTGTCACTGACTTGAAGTGGTCGATCGGTGCGGTTGCAGCACAAGCTGCACATGCAGCAACTGCATGCGTATGGACATTTCGTGAAGATAGTGAGGTGATGGAATACATGAACGATATCTCTCACTTAAGGAAGGTCACGCTGAAGGTGATTTTCGTTTTGTCAGAATGAGAGGGTGGTGTCTCCAGTTGAAAGGTAGGCTTACGTGTGATCCCAAGGTAGTGGTTATTTGGCGTTCTTCCGAGTTAATAAATTTTTTCAACGTTAATATATTGCTCATTAAAAGTTCGGTTAAAAGTGCACTGCCTATTTGCTTCCGCATTTTTTCGTTGAAGATTCAATTTTTTGTTACAAACATAGTGAATAAAGAATTTGAGTTGTTCTGCCTTTTTTATTTCGAAAGCAACCACCACTCATATTCCGTATATAGCACAATCGCTTCCGTTAACCATTTTGCAGATAAGCGTTATTTTTTTTATGTTAAAGTTTTCTGATCATTGTTTTATCAAATTAAAGTTTTTCTATTCAATTTTTTTCGTCAATGTGTCGTATATAAACACAAAGGAAAGTTAACTGGAACAATTCGAATACTGAACAACAAAAAACAGTTTTATAGGTACCGAACGAAAATGAATTACGAAATGTCGAGAAGAGGCTGCAGGACAGTAATGTTGATTATTATTTATGGACGGAAGACAGTATGGCTGTGTGCATTGCCCTCAAACCACAATTCAAAAGCTTTATTGAACAACATGTGAAACATTTGAAACTCTTTTAAATCGAATACTTCAATTCTGTAATTGACTATATTCATAATTACATTAGTCTTAACGACACTGCAATGAATGAATGTTTATGCAAAATTGTTTTGGTATAATTTATTTCATTTAGAGATGTACTGAAAATATATTTCTCATTGGAAGTTCGATTAAAAATGCACTGCTTATTTGCTTCCAAATTTTTTCGTTGAAGATTCAATTTCTTGTTACAAACGGAGTTATTAAAGAATCTGAGTTGTTCTGCTTTTTTCTTTCAAAACCAATCACCATTCATATTCTGTATATCCGCCAATCATTTTGTAAAAAATGAATCCTATGCGTTTCGTAACCGAAATCGCGGACAGTTTGGTAAATTTTCATCTGTAAAACATATTTGCCTCATGTTTTATTTAAATTAGCGTTATGGCCCATATTCATTTACTTACCATTTAGCTGCAACACTTCAAGCTTCAGCTGGTTTTTTCTCGAAGAGATCTTTGATCGGCCTTATTCTGTTCTCTAGCGGGAAATTTTTAGCATTTGTCTTAGAACCACTATGTTCTCTAATTTTGAAATTTATGGGGAACTATTCGTGACACTGAGATTTAAATGGATCGACATCGAAGGAAATTTGCAAATCAAGTCTACAGTTTTTACTAAAAACCCAAAATGGTCTACAGCTTCATTTACTGAAAAAGTGTGCACAGTTCTTCGAAAATTGCAAAAAAGTATGGATGATATTAAGAGTTGAACAACTGATGTTACAATGAGCAATAACTATTGAACTTTTTCGGGAGTATTTAATTTTATTGTTATTGAAAAATAGTATCAATCCCACTTTCGTACTCATTATATACTTCCATTTCTTCATTAAATGTTAAAAGAAGCATTGAACCATTTCAAAAAATATTTGAAAAATTGCTAAACATTCAAAACAACTTTTCAAATTTTCTAATCTGTAACGGTTAGGGTTTCGATAAATTCTTTTAGAGTCTTAAAAAAATCCAGTTTTGTTTAAAATTCAAATTTAGAAAAATAATTATAAACTTAACTGTATGGTTTTCATTATGTTAATTTTTATTTTTTTAAGGACTTTTTGATAGCTTGAAGTTATGATCATACCTTTTGATGGCTTGAAGTTGTGATCATGAAGTTATTTATGACCATTATGATTCCGATTTCTTGCAAAATTGCAGAACGCGAAAGTAGATAATTTTTCGGGAGCATTTAATTTCGCGATGTGCAAGACGTCCGGGAATAGAAAACAATGACTCCTTATTTATGAGCAGTGTCTTTTTGTTCATTAAAAACATATAATACTGAAAGGTGGCATTATTCGCCCACTAAAAATTCCTAATTTTTCCCTAAAATTAAAATTTAATGATCGAGTTGATGAATTCCATCAACTGTGCAACATTCATTTTATCATTATTAAAAACTTCTTTCACTCCAAAAATATTGTATTATCAAACACATTTAATAAATAATTTGCGCTTACTATGTAATTTCTTTTCAATGTTCAAAATTTAAATGAATTGAAAATAAAACAAAATTATCATTCTCTCAATGACTATTAGTAAGCGTTTAACGTGTCAGTTTGAGCTTCATAATTTAATAGTTTTTTATTCATCATTAGAAGAATGTATAGATTAATAGTAATATAATAACTTCTTCTATATGAATTACTCAGCTCTACTTCTCGTGAAAGCTTAATGATTTTTTTTTAACTTAAATTATTGTTCTGTGGCAATGTCACAGTTCCTGTCACACTCATCATTTACTTTGCTTGCTTTACTTTTTCATTGTTTTGACCTCTGATGTTTTTCTTTTGTTTTGGAAAGAACAATTATCAATTACTGGTATTCAAATGAAAATTTACGGCTTTTTGATGAAATAGATCCCTTTTTTTCGATTTTTTGCACATGATTAATTTCATACAGTTTTTAGTGATTCATCATGAAAAATAATATAACAGTTCTCTATAAGACATATTTCAGAATATAAGGAATATGAACAGAATGATACTAAAAGAACTCTCTACTCTTACCTTTCTCACCTAACAATAACAAAACACGAGTTATGAATGAATTAATAGAAGAAACCTTCCAAAAAAAGAAAAATTGACAAATAGTTTTGAAGTATAAGCTAGCTCTATTCGGTAATTCATAGAAAGATCCAATACAAACATATTAAGAATTCCCATAGCCTATTTCTGTCAGAAACATTGAAGTAGCACATATCCGAAAATATTAGTACGCATAATACAAATATCACAAAATTCAAATTGAGCATTTAAAGCATTATCATTTTATATTGATACGGAAGAAAGGAATAAATTGACATCAAACTTAACGAAATTTTATGTCACAAAACTAGGAGGAATATCGAGAACAGATTTCTTCGTATCTAAATAGATGCGGTTTTTTTAATTATTCGTCTTAATTTTATACGTTCGATTGTAAAAAGTTGATTTTTAATTGCCCGTTCAAATTTTTAATTTTATAAAATTTTTGAAGGAAACATTTTTTTGTTATTGAGGATGGAATGCATGAAAAAGATTGAAAGGAGAAGTGTTTGAAATGGCAGTAAGGAGTAACGTGGCAGTAAGCAATAATCAAAATCAAATTCTGATTGGGAAAAAATGCAACATGCCCGAACTTACAAAAGTTCTGAAAATTCCGAGAAACACGTCCTAGTTTTTCATATAAATATAGATTAAAGGCTAATTGAAAGAAAAGACTAATAAAAGAGAACAAGATAAATTAGCACAGATGGCAGTAATAATTGAAGGCAACGACGACCACGGTAGCAGCTCCAACTGCTAATGGTACACCAACAAGAAGTATGGTGAGGAAAGATGTACGAGTGGATAATGGAGCATCTGGTTCCGGATGTGATGGATTTGAATCCACGCTGAAATCTTCACAAATGTTAGATTCTAAAATTGAATCGAAACTTTTAAATCAAAATGTACTACTGGTTGAATTTTGTTCATATGATATCTACGCCCGTAATTTCCTCATCAATTTCATTAACATTATTGTTATTATTCAGTCAATTAATTTTCCCGATATTTATACAAAGGAGCAAATTACGAAGTATCAAGCATATTTGGTTGATTACCTGTGTATACGACTAAAAATGAGGGAATCATCATTAGACACTTCATCTTCACGTTTAGCATTACTCCTGAGATACGAAAATGTATTGCACAGTGGTTTATTGCAAGCGCACAAATCAAGCCACCTGAAGATAATAAATTTGTGATTGCAATTATAAAATTTTTTAAATTAAAAAAATAAAGACTTGTTTTATTGTACTTTTTATAGTGTATTATTTTGATTTTCATAAAATCTGATTTTTTTTTTCTATATTTATGGAGCGATAATAACATTATACTGTCAAAAGATGGCCAACAAATTTCCGAAAGCTCTAAGT